GAAACCCTGTCTCTACTAAAAATACAAAATTAGCTGAGCATAGTGGTGCATGCCTGTAATCCCAAATACTCAGGAGGCTGAGGCCTGAGAACCTCTTGAACCTGGAAGGCGGTCGTTGAGGTAAGCCGAGATCCTGCCATTGCGCTACAGCCTGGGCAACGAGAGTGAAATTCTGTCTCAAAAGAAAAAAAAAAGTTGAAAACCACTGTTCAGTATATTAAGTGGTATCCGAGGGCTCTAAAGCCTAAAGATCATTTTTTGTCAAGTGGTTGCACTGTGTTTTGTTTTTCAGGGTTTTTATGGGGGGGGGTGAGGGGTCGTTAAATAAGCATGTCTCTATTCTTTAATCCCAAACATTTACTTATGACAAATGTAACAATTGACGGAAATTTAAAAAACACCAGATACGCCAGGCGTGGTAGCTCAAGCCTGTAATCCCAGCACTTTGGGAAGCTGAGGTGGGCAGATCACGAAGTCAAGAGATCAAGACCATCCTGGCCAACATGGTGAAACCCCGTCTCTATTAAAAAAAAAAAAAAAAAAAAAACCACCAGAAACAGTACTTCTTAAATGATTTTCCTTGGTTCAAAATTTATCCCTGCTTGTTTTCTCTTGCTTTTCAGGTGATTAACTCTTCTCTTTCTAGTTTGAGCTATTCAGTGCAAGACTCCTCTGTAGTCTTTCCAAGTGGAATGTTATAAAAACAAACAAACCTTTACAGGTATTGATCGACTTACGACCTATGCAACTTAACGACCACTCGACTTTACGACCACAATCGCTGGCCACAACTGTTCCGTGTCTGGCAGTGCAAACGTTGCCCAGCTGGGCGTACGACAGTGCGGACCAGCTTCCGTCGGCACTACCATCTCCGCGTGCACCATTTAAATTGTTATCCGAGACTCGGTACAGCAATTTGTGTTTTGTGTCTAGGTTATTTTTCATCAAACCCCTCCCAGGATGTCTACCAAGAAGAAATTGTCTTTGTCTACACCTCAGCCTGCCAAGGAAAGAAAGGCCATCGATCTCGACACGAAAATGAAGGTAATTAAGCAGTAAGAAGGAGGAAAGAAAGTGAATGTGATTGCACGTGATACGAAGTTATCACACTCGACTGTGTCGACGATTTTGAAAGATAAAGAAGGAATTCGTGAAGCTGTGAAAGGTTCTGCACCCATGCGATCAACAGTTATAACAAAGCAACGAAGTGGGCCCATCCTCGAAATGGAGAAATTGCTATATATTTGGATGGAAGATCAAATTCAAAAATGGACACCATTAAGTCTTATGATAAAATATGACTTAAAGATTTTTAGAACATCATTTCACAGTACTGTACATATAGCCTACTCAACTTACGACCAAATCATGTTACGACCGGTCTGTCGGAACCAATCGTGGTCGTAAGTCGAGCACTAGATGTATTTATATTATGCCAGCTGAGGTGTCAGAGCCCTGGCATCAGAAAATGCTGGGCTCACGGGTCACAGGGTAGTAAGAATTTACAGAAGACAGTATAGGTTTGAAATATAGTTTGATTATAAAGAAAATACACTGCAGAAGAGTGCAGCGGGGCACCTCGGCAAGAGAGGACTGAGTGGATTGTAGGCCATGATCAATGATAATACTTTTAGATATTTTGGTGCCTTAATGTTAGCAAGGGTTGCACAATGAGTTTTGACATGCATGCATCGGAGACGTATAGAAATTCTAGTTACTTACAAATTTTTGAGAAAGATGCCTGGAACCAGATGCCAGGTTTAGATAATAGGGGAGTCTAATTACCTCTAAATTCCTCACATAAGTAGTTTTGCCTCTGGGTGGCCTGCTTGATGGTCACCAGGTGATCTCTGCCCTCCTTATACTATAAGCACTTGCACTTGAAAGTGTCATTTGGCCTCCTGACATGCTGTGCCTGGGAATTAGGTGAGAACAGTAGTTGGGCCAACCTAATGAATCACAAAACCTGTTAATTAGTGCTGGAAAATGTTCCCCCCACCCCTCGTTGTGCCCTAACTCCTATGTAATGTCTTGATAAATTCTGACCTTACTGTTTTGGAGGCTAAGAGAAAAAAACCTAATGTCCCTGTTATCCCTTGATGCAAAAATGCTCATTGAAAAAAGTAAGGTTTTCCAATATTTGAAACCTTCTGGCTGGGTGCAGAGGTTCACTGCTGTAATCCTAGCGCTTTGGGATGTGGGGCGGGAGGATTTCTTGAGCCCAGGAGTTTGAAACCAGCCAAGGCAATATGGCAAGACTCCCATCTCTACAAAAAAAGAAAAAAAAGGTTTAATTAGCTGGGTGTGGTGGCATGTACCTGTGGTACCAGTGACACAGGAGGCAAAAAAAAAAAAACAAGAACCAAAAACCAAAGAATAAAAACAAAAACAAACACCTTTTTTTCTGGGTATTTTATCATACTCAAAGATTTAAATGCAGGTTATATATTTGACAAAATATATAGTTCTCAAAATCAGTCTTACCTCCTAATATTCTTTCAAGTTTTATTCCCTGAATTTGTTCTAATTTTCAAAATAAAAATCCAAATTAACACCTCTCTTAAAAACAACTTTTTCTTTAATGGCTTAACTTCATTCAGCTTTACCTGGTAAACAAGGGGGAAAATCAAAGAATAAATCGTCTTCTAGGGGTGACAGCTGGCGTTTTAACACCTGCCTTTACACCTAAGAGGCAGAGATCAGACATGGTTGCATCTCTGTTGTTCATTTAGTGGACCAGATTTCATACATAATCCTCTCTTGCTTTTTGTCTTTCACTTTTTCTGAGAGATAAGCTAGCAAAGCTTCTCCATTGTAAGAGAGACAAAATTGAAAATTTGGTCATGACTTTACTACCTGAGAAAAACAACGTACTATGCTTCTTGGAGAAGTAATATACAATGAATTTTCCTAGAATTATAAAAGGGTTATTATTTGTCCAGTATTTAAAGAGGAACTAAGGGGTCTGTCTCTCAGGTATGTAGCATCTATTCTTAACACTTTTAGATATCAATCTAGTCCCCTTTGGAATTTATTGTTGACTCAACTGGAGTATTTTTTTCTTTTAGTGGAAATAAGTAAATGCATTTATTTTTATTTAAAAATATATATTTCTTCTACTTTGCTCTATGGTATCACAGCAGAAAAGTTCAAGTGCAACCAAAAAGCTTTTGAAATGTCTAAATGAGGGAACATTAAACTACCTCTTCTGGGATTTAGCAAATGGAATCTGGTAGAAGAAATCAAAATAATGACCCTAAAATCCTATGATTTATTTTTTTAAGCATGCTTTTATATCCATTATATCATTTGATCTACAGCCTTATTAGCACAGCATGAAAAGGTAGAATTTTCCAAAAGTGTATCTGTTCCCATCTGTTGTCTCAGCTACCTGTCTCAATTACTGTTTCTACTGAGATTTTTTGCTCATGTTTACACTTTATTTTCAATTACGTGTGAAAATTACTCTCTTGCATCATACAAACTTTTTTTTTTTTTTTTTTTTTGAGACGGAGTTTCACTCATGTTACCCAGGCTGGAGTGCAATGGCGTGATCTCGGCTCACCGCAACCTGCGCCTCCTGGGTTCAGGCAATTCTCCTGCCTCAGCCTCCTGAGTAGCTGGGATTACAGGCACGCACCACCATGCCCAGCTAATGTTTTGTATTTTTAGTAGAGACGGGGTTTCACCATGTTGACCAGGATGGTCTCGATCTCTTGACCTCATGATCCACCCGCCTCGGCCTCCCAAAGTGCTGGGATTACAGGCTTGAGCCACCGCGCCCGGCCTGCATCATACAAACTTTAATCTCATTTTTTTCCCTTTATTCCTTCAGTGGAACCTTAAGTATTGGCATTCCTCAAGATTCAGTTCTTGATCCTCTTTCCTTTTATTATTGCTAACCGTGCAGGCTCTTCCTTGGAGATCTTACTTGCAGGGTCTCCTTCAATTGTCACTTTCATGGATGACTTCTAAATGAATGTCTCCAGTACTGACCTCGCTCCTCAGAACTCATTTCTAGATGAATTTTTAGATTCACATTTCAAAATTTCTTGTAGAAAGCCATAATTTAGTGTCTTTCAGCTAAAGGACATTAAAAGACTAAGGTCAGGTTTAGAAACAGACAAGTTTGTGTGTGAGTTAATGTTTGCATCTACTGCAAAGATAAACCAGAGATTAATTTTAGATTTTTGTTGCTTTATGTTAATCGACTCTTTCTATACATTAAACTTGGTCCTCAGTTTTTAGATATGAGTATAGAAAACCAACATAGTATCATGAAGCTGATAAAATGTGCTTTACATTTTTCAATCATCCAAACATTTCATAATGTATTATCTTGAATTTCAATAGCATACTTCTATAAATGTTCAACAACTTATAGACAAAAACATGCATTTCTAAAATTCAAATCAGTTTCCTTAATCGATTTGCTATTATACTTTAAAATCACTCTTAAATGAGTTGGCAGACCAAAATGAATCTCACACAGTTTCCTAAAGGCTTGTGGCAGTGGCTTAGGTTGGACTTTCAATATAAGGGAATATTTACCAAATAAAAGGCCATTGATTTTTGTATTAGACAAAGATATCTGGAAATTTCTAGATGGATTTAGGGATTTTGGTCATTCTAAGGAGAATCTAGAGGTAAGCCTCATCTGCCTCATGGGTAGAGTCCAAGTTATCATTTCCCTTCCTACATCCTTACAAGATTCCAGGAGAATCTGTCAATGGCTCTGAAGCCAGGCTCAGGAGGGCATTGGTATTCAGCAAATGGGGCATTTTGCTTCATTCCTTCAACATAAGCTCTCCTGAAAGCTTTGTGCAGAGGCGGGAAAAGGGGCTATCATCCCCTTAAATGAATAGCCGAGTTAGTGAGTATAAAATATAAGATGTATTTTGCTTGTTATTCACTAATCGGGAAGCAAACATAGGCAAAATCACGTAACGGTGGTGGTTACGCGCACCCCGTTGGGGGTCCGGGCTGGAAAGCCGCGGCAAGGGGCGTGGCCCCGAGGAGGCGGAGACAAGATGGCTGCCCAGAGTGCTTGGAGGACCTAAGAGGCGGTGGCCGGGGCCACGCCCCGGGCAGGAGGGCCGCTCTGTGCGCGCCCGCTCTATGATGCTTGCGCGCGTCCCCCGCGCGCCGCGCTGCGGGCGGGGCGGGTCTCCGGGATTCCAAGGGCTCGGTTACGGAAGAAGCGCAGCGCCGGCTGGGGAGGGGGCTGGATGCGCGCGCACCCGGGGGGAGGCCGCTGCTGCCCGGAGCAGGAGGAGGGGGAGAGCGCGGCGGGCGGCAGCGGCGCTGGCGGCGACTCCGCCATAGAGCAGGGGGGCCAGGGCAGCGCGCTCGCCCCGTCCCCGGTGAGCGGCGTGCGCAGGGAAGGCGCTCGGGGCGGCGGCCGTGGCCGGGGGCGGTGGAAGCAGGCGGGCCGGGGCGGCGGCGTCTGTGGCCGTGGCCGGGGCCGGGGCCGGGGCCGTGGCCGGGGACGGGGCCGGGGCCGGGGCCGGGGCCGCGGCCGTCCCCCGAGTGGCGGCAGCGGCCTTGGCGGCGACGGCGGCGGCTGCGGCGTCGGCGGCGGCGGCAGCAGCGGTGGCGGCGGCGCCCCCCGGCGGGAGCCGGTCCCTTTCCCGTCGGGGAGCGCGGGGCCGGGGCCCAGGGGACCCCGGGCCACGGAGAGCGGGAAGAGGATGGACTGCCCGGCCCTCCCCCCCGGATGGAAGAAGGAGGAAGTGATCCGAAAATCTGGGCTCAGTGCTGGCAAGAGCGATGTCTACTACTTCAGGTACCTCCCTGGGGGCGGGGAGGGGGTGGCGGGGTCAGGCCGGGGTCAGGGGTCAAGAGCAGGCCTGGGTAGGGGATGCCAGGATGAGAGCTACGGCCCGGGGGGCATGATGTGGCAAGGAAAGGCTGGCCTGGTGGTGGAAGGTGGCTGAACCCTTGAGTGAGAGTTGACCCCAGTGCGTTGGGAAGGAGTGTCAAAGGTGGAGGCCCGCAGGAGGGCATCTTAAGTGGAAGGCGTCGGGGGAAGATGGTTTGCGAAGAAAGGGTTAACCTGGCAGGGATGGTTAATCCACTGAAGGGTTAAAAGGAGGTGTAATTCATCGAAACTATAAAACCCAGTCACTGTTGGCTCCTGTCCCAGCCTGTCCCAGATTCATCATCACAAGTGTTTAATCATGCACATGTGGAAGAATTAGCTATCTACGGTAACAAGGTTTCATTTACTTCATCCAAGAAAGTATCGTATAAAGCAGCTATTTGGAATGTCTGGTGTTTTTGGAACTTCCTTGTTGTTGCAGAGTATACTCTTTTGAAACTGGCACACTGTACTAAGTTTTTAGACTCCTAGACCAAAATTTGCTCCCCAGGAAACATTTGTCAATGTTCTTACACCTGGGGAGGGTGTGATACTGGCATCTAGTGGGTAGAGGCCAGCGATGCTGCCCCATATTCGATAATACAAAGGAAAGCTCTCGCAACAGACTGATCTGGCCCAAAATGTCACCTGTGCTGATGTTGAGACATCCTATTTTAAATGATTCAAGGTTTTTCACCTCAATCTTGCAATCCTGTGGTCATGCTGTTCATGTCTCCCCCGCAACCCCCCAGACGGAGTCTCGCCCTGTCGGCAGGGCTGGAGTGCAATGGCGCGATCTCTGCTCACTGCAACCTCTGCCACCCAGTTTCAAGCGATTCTCCTGCCTCAGCCTCCTGAGTAGCTGGGATTACAGGTGTCTGCCACCATGCCTGGCTAATTTTTTGTACTTTTAGTGGAGACGGGGTTTCACTATGTTGGCCAGACTGGTCTTGAACTCCTGACCTCGTGATCCGCCTGCCTCGGCCTCCCAAAGTGCTGAGATTACAGGCATTAGCCACCTCACCTGGCTCCCAGGTGGGACTTTTAGAATTTTTTTTTTTTTTTTTTTGAAATGGATTGTCACTCTGTCACCCAGGCTGGAGTGCAATGGTGTGGTCTCGGCTCACTGCAACCTCTGCCTCCCGGGTTCAAGTGATTCTCCTGCCTCAGTCTCCCGAGTAGCTGGGACTACAGGTGCGTGCCACCACACCTAGCTAATTTTTGTATTTTTAGTAGAGACGGAGTTTCACTATGTTGGCCAGGCTGGTCTTGAACTCCTGACCTCGTTATCCTTCCGCCTCAGCCTTCCAAAGTGCTGGGATTACAGGTGTGAACCACTGTGCCCGGCCTTCATGTCTTCAGTTTGTGTGACCCAGTAAGCTCAAGAAAGTGCCTATGGCTATCAATACCCGTGGACTTATAAACAAATTTACTAAATTTTGTAATAAGCTATCCCATTGATAGAAGACAATATAAACTTGTTTTCAGTCGTTTGGAAATACGGTTTGTGGACTGATTTAAGCATTTTTCAGGGAATGTTTATGGGTATTGGAGACAATTGTCAGTCATTTAGCCATTGTAATAATGTTACGAAGGATTTCCTGTCCTCTTCAAGTAGTTCTGGGAAAATGCGTCTATACACATACAATGCTTATGAACTAAGAATACTTTTAACTAGATTGAAAAAGTTAAAGAAATATACATACACATATATACATATGCACACACAGGAATGTGATCACTGCTGCTGCAGCATGTAAATATGAACACATTCCTGATGGTTGCCATATATGGATGAGTAAGTAGTTTTAGTAAATTCACCTCAAGCAAAAAAAGAAAAGTGATGTTTCATTTTAACTTAGTTTTCCTCTTGACCTAAGACCCTCATCTTGAGACCTCATATGATAAAATGGAAAACTTATTTTAAATATAATAGTGATAATCGCCTGTGGTCCCAGCTACTCAGGAGGCTGGGTTGAGAGAATTTCTTGAGTCCAGGAGTTCCAGGCTGCAGTGACCTGGGTGATAGAGTGAAACCCCATCTCTTTAAAGAAAAAAAAGAAAAAGTGTGATAATCCTGTTTTGTATTTCCTCATCAAATATTTGATTTAATGGCAAAAAAATTATTGTGAGCACTTTCACAGGTCCTCCCTCAGGCTGTGGGGCCAGGATTTGGTAGCTGGTGCTGAAAGAAAGCCTTTGATGGCATCCTTGCCCTGGGACTGTGCCAGTGGCAGCTGTCACTCAAGGGGACAATTTCTCCTGATAAAATATTTAAAAAAAAAAAAAAGTTACTGTGGTTAAAAAAGATTAGTCCTCTCAAGTTCATTAGTTTCACTTACTGCTGTTCACAATTGTTCATTTTTTGGTATCTTTCATTACCAGCATTCTGTTTTCTTTCTAAGCAGGCAGTCTGCATAACCTCCTTTGAACTATGTGCCTTGTAGGCAATTATATTTGACAAGACTGTTCTGTGTCTGTGATTGAACTCCTTGAGGAATAGATGACTAGTCTGTTCTCAGTAGAGCATCTTAAACTTTGAATTTTACTCGCTGTGGCAGTTCTCCTGGGATATGGTTTGTTTGGTTTTGGGATGATGTATTTTTCAAGCTAACTTTGGCGATTGCAAAACTTTCTGTTTGTTTGTTTTCCTTGTCATAGTTGGAAAAGTTATTTCAAGAAGTCAAATTGTTGTAGTGCTCATTTGGATTTATGATTTTCTTGAATGTGTTGCACATTTTTTGATGTTACATTTTTTAAATACAAACTTAGTATTTTATGTTAGGAAAACGGATATGATCAATTTAAAACAAACTTTTAAACAAATTCATCTTAAGGCAGTTGCAAGCCACTGTAGGTAGTTACTCCCTAAAATGAAAGTCTTTTTCTGGGACATTGGAGCATGATTTGCCTTTTACTTGTTTATGTAAAATGGAAAGGACACATTGAACAGATTTGTGCCACACCTGTTTAGTTCAGGGCCAAAAGGAGCATTGTCTGCTGTTTATTAACTATCTACAAAGGCTTAGTTACTTTACAGGATTGTTAACACCCAGTCTTGGTTTTCTTCTGAAAGGTTACATTCTGAAGCAGTAACATATACTTAGCATAATATGATAATTGTGATAGGATAGTTACTTTGACTTGTGACTGTAGCTTTCTGTGATGAATGATAGGCGGTTACTTATTGTAAAGGAAGACAAATTATTTTTCAGTCTACAGCGTCACTGCTTTATGTATTAGTGTCCCCATATACACTCCACCCTTTAAAAATTCCAGTAATTCACAGAACACCCACTATCTGCTAGTAGGTGGGTTAAGAGTTAATTCTCCCGTTGGTAATGTGAGCACCTGCACCCAGTTGTTCACACAGATTCTAATAATGCTAACCCCTGAATTAGCCTGCCCCTGGGGAGATTAATTTAAACAAATCTGTGTCTGTTAATTTAGGGTGTGGCAGACACTTATAATTGGTCTGAAATTAAGCTCATCGAGAAAGCCGCAAATTTTGGTAGTTTTTTGGCTGCTTTTTTGAAACTGCCAAGTTCTAATAGGAAGAAGGCGTGCCCCTAGTTGTCAGTTAAGCAATATAATTATGCCTTCTGTCAGGATTACTGATAGTGTTGTGGCAGTTCATATGTTATCATCCAATGTGTTTGTTTAAAAGGGTGTGGTTTGATCGTATCCATTGGTATATTTTCTGAAAAAGCTTGTTCCATCGTTTGAACCCATTATTTGAACAATAATTTTCTGACTTGTCTACTCGACTCCTGTCATTTCTAGTTTCTTGCATAACATTTGCTGATTGATATTTTTGAAATATTTTCTTATTCACAGGGTCTTCTTTTAGTTTCCCTCTCTTGCCCTTTTAAAAAATCAAGTTTAAACTTGTTCAATTCTAGTCTTCTTTCTTTCTCTTTCTTTCTTTCTTTCTTTCTTTCTTTCTTTCTTTCTTTCTTTCTTTCTTTCTTTTTCTTTCTTTCTTTCCTTTCCCTCCCTCCCTCCCTCCCTCCCTCCCTCCCTCCCTTCCTTCCTTCCTTCCTTCCTTTTTCCTCTCTAAAAAAATTCTTTTTTATTTTAATATGTATTTATATAGACAGTGTCTCACTGTATTGCACAGGCTGGTCTTGAACTCCTGGGCTTAAGCAGTCTTCCCACCTTAACCTCCCAAAGTGTTGGGATTACAGGCATGAGCCACTGTGCCCGCTAGAGTTCTAGATTCTTGGTTATAACTAGGGTTAAAGAACTTGGTAATGGTAAACTATTACAGCTGCTGCCATAAAGTATCATTTGATTGGATACTGGAAACATGTTTTTGACTCTTTTTTTAAATCAAAATTATGATGTATTTGCACCTGATGTTATCACACTTCTGAAAAAAGAAAAAGGTATAGTGGGACCAGAGAATTAAAATAAGCAAAGGGAGAGATGCATGATGAGAAACTAAAAAGATTTTACTGGCTGAGTGTGGTGGGTCATGCCAGGAATCCCAGCGCTTTGGAAGGCTCAGACAGGTGGATTGCCTGAACCCAGGAGTTTAAGACCAGCCTGGGCAACATGGGGAAACCCCGTCTTTACAAAAACAAGAAAATTAGCTGGGCATGGTGATACATGCCTGTAATCCCAGCTATTCTAGGAGGCTGAGATGGGAAGACAACCTGAGCCCAGGGAGATCGAGGGTTTATCAATTGGTATTACAACTAACATTTTGTAAAACAGGCCTTAAAATGATTTCTTAGTTTTTGCTTTATTTCTTTTACCTGTGGTGGTGTGTTGGGATAAAATTGGTTGAGATATTTTATTAATAAGGCTACACATTTTCTAGTTTCTAATTTTCATCATCTATGTGAAGGTACTACAGAAAGCCTTTTTTCTGGGATTTTGAATATTAGCAATACAGTGAAAATGGTAAATAGGAGGCTCAT